CGATGGGTAACACCAGGGCCAATAAATTGGCGGCCAACAACTCACACTACAATTGGACGATAATGTTAAGACATTAAAACTAACACATTATACTTTTATCCGATGTTCCGACAAGTTTATAATGTTCTTCATCTTTAAAATTACCATCATTTAGTGTTTTAGTTGTTTTGTTAGTTATCTACTTCGTTGGATCTGGTATATGCTCCAAGTAAATAAAATAACCTGCTAACTTTTTGAATGTCAAAGTCAACATTTTTTGTCACCTTTCATAAAACATACCTTCATATTTTTCTTAAAAGTCATCTGATCCAACATTAACAACAAAATTCTAGAAAAATGTTTTCGGCCAAAAAACTGACGGAGTTCGAAAGGTTAAAATCCACAAAAGAACACTGAATCGATCTGCATGGACAATGATAAACTAATGGAAAAGTTGGCTCAACTCATTTCACTAAAATCTTGCTCACAAATCTACAATTTGATTTTTTAATCTTAGTGATATTCCACCATTATAACATTTGCAAACAAAAGGCCACATTGGTTATTCAGTGTGAAACTAGTAACAACTTACAAGGAACTTGGTAATTAATGATGGATGTAACTCACATGCTTTTCACACTGAAATAATCTGAAATTTTGCAAAGTTTAATTCCATAAGACTAGCTATTTGATAAAAATCAAAGAAAAAGGTGTACCTGAAGTAGATATTCAATTATAAATCCAATTCAAAATGGCCACCAGATCTCAACACTACAAGAAAACTATCATCACAGTTTACACAGAAACAGGGAAGCTTAACACCATACATTTTTTTAATAGATTATGGTACCTTCTATTTTTATTAGCATTTTGTTTTGTACTTGATATCCCACTCATCACCGTCCATGGCCATATATTTATGAGGTGACAACTGATTACATGAACCTTGGTTGGAGAAGATGCCCATTCATCAAAATATATGAAACTTGTAGCATGTTTAAATTTTCTGGCGTAATGGAGATATTTCTATTCTGGGATAAAACAACAACTAGAAACAGATTTCAAAAAATGATCAATCCCCTCCATGTTTATTACCCAACATTCATCAATTATTAAGTATTAAAATTTATAAAAACCATGCATATTTCTAAAGTATGTACATATATAAAATTCTTTTCCCCAACAATGTATACACAGCCTCATTAATATGACAATAAATATATAGAAAAGTACACAAAGTTTGAAGATATTGTGTTTTAAGAGGTTGACCATGAGGAACTCTGAGAGATGATAGAAAAAAAGGGGAAAATCATCTTTTTCTTCACTTGCTATTATTTTTTTCTCTCTATCAAATGGGTTTGTTTTTTAAAATCAATATTTTATTCGCTCCATTTCATTAATGGCATCTGGTATAGGTGATCAGATAGAAGTACCTCACCCACCATCCCTTCACAGAAATCTCAATGGTTCACCCCTTCCACGTTTCACTCTTATCACTAACATAGTATTTCAAAATATACAATATCAATAGACTATATTACAAAATGTAGAAAATCAGTTAATTTACACGATGAAAAGTCAAAGTCAGGTCCAGAAGTAGTTCATTCATCAACATCATCTGTATGAATAATTTTTTTCTGGTTTATTTATTCAAAATTGTAAAAAGTGTGTTTCATTGCATAAAAGTTGTGATTGGTACGGTAGTTCATGCTTTTACGAGAAAACTCACAGTGCAACGAACAATGCAACATGGTTCACATTTTTTATGTTCTGTTATTACTGGTACTGTAGAATACTTTATTTTCGTTTGGAATTAATTTTTGTTATTTTCGCTGAAGGAATGATTCAGTGAAAATAAAATCCAGCGAATATACCTTTTTTTCTATATTTTACATTAAACTTGTCAAAAATCAGTGAAAATGAATTCCATGCAAAACACCCAAAAATAATTCCAGCTAAAATAAAGTCTTTTACAGTATTTTTGGACCAATTGTTGTTAGAAAAAAATGTTCTGCTAACACTCGTATTTCCTGTGTCCAAAATCATTTTAGGCAAAATGAACAGAACAAGTTAAGTCTGGAATGCTTTTAGTTATACTGGTAAATTCTGACTGTGTACAATATAGATAAATATAAAAAGTAATTTTGTGAAAAATATGGCTTTATAATGAAAACAGAATTTACACAAGTTTTCTACACAAGCATCAACATGACAAGTCGAAAGACAATTCTACTGGAATGTAGTAAACTTAAAGTACCACTAAAATTTTCAACATATATTTTATCAAAATATAAATTACTAGTTTGGAATAGAATAAGTATTTTTGAAGTAAATATAGGCAGCAAACTTGGTTAGTTTCATCCCCTCAGCTATTGAAAGTCAGCTGCTGCCATATAATTTGATTTTGTCATGAAAGTTCCCCCTCTACAGACTCATTCATATAATAATCTATTTATAGCATTCATCATCATAATTAATTCACATGTAGTGCAGGAAAAAAAAGTGTATATCTTAAAGTGACAGTAATCAATGTTATCAATGTAATGCTAGAATTATTTGCCTATCCACAATTCAAAGTTAGAATAGTGTTACTAGTGTGACATTGTGCAGTGTTCTATATCAATCTTAGTGTTTTTGAATCGGTAAATGATATAAAAAGATGACTAGCTCTTTCTCACTATTGCTATTGCTAGAATGCTAGTTGTATGCTGTACGTGGAATGTGTGGGAAGGTGAATTATTGTTTACAGTCACACTCATGCCAGTCATCAATGTATGATTTTGTAAAGCATTGATTTGCTACCACTATTTTGATTTGATGAGGTTGGCCATGATTTCACCATGATTTTCATGACCCCATCCGCACCGCACACCCTGACATACAAAATACCTATAAATGGCTGCTTACAGAATACCATCCATTTTGGTAACATCGTCTGTAATATCAATTAAACAGGCAACCTTGTCATGTATATTATCTACATACAAATATATGAATGTATTTTTAAATTTGCTGTGAAACAGAACATAAAAAAGATTACTCTGGCTTTCAATGTACATGTTTAATCACTTCTTTTAAGAGCCTTTTATGGACGGATAAACATCACCATATTGCTGTATTGCCCTGAAACAATTAAAGACAATTTCAATTCTGTCCCAGACACGCCCACACATTATGTTTTCACACGCTGTAGATATTTTATAATTCCTAGATCGAGACAGAATTGATTTATTTAGACCGAATTGAATCATGTAACTTCATCCCCGAGGTTAGATAAGTGATACGTTACTCCATCACAAAAATTAATGGGATGGTTATAATTAAAATCATCAATTATCCATGTCATATTAGATATAAAGTGAGCCCTCACAGTCCTTTCTTCATTCCTACCATAGATGGCGCACAACCAAAAGTGTATGCAAATACAATACAGATGAGTTTTAAATTCCCCAGGTGTGTTCCCTGGTTGCTAAGTTACTGAGCTTGCTTGCAGCAGACAAAATGTCTATTTCATAACATGAAGCTTTTTGTTCTGTATTTTATAAGTCGAATCTACATACTTGTGAGTTTTCCTTTGAAAATATCTTACAAATACTCACATACATATAGATACTAGGTAAGCTGTTATAAATTATATTATTATACATGTACATCTGTCACTGTAACACCATAAGTTACAGTGTGTCGTAATTTTGCGGTATTTCATCCTACCATATTAGGAAATGCAAATTCCATATATGGAATGATTACACGTGTAAGCGTCCTCTAGGAAATGCAAATTCCAAATATGGAATGATTACGCGTGTAAGCGTACGTCCTCTAATAATGAAAACAAACATGGTCACCACCAGTTTGACGAGACTCCACTCAAAGAAGTTCACTGATTCTGTTCTAAACATTTTGAATTTTGGCATTCCCATGGAAGGAAAAGATGTATAATAATAATAAGGTTATTACAAGAATACCTCAAAGTATGCACTGTGCGTCGGTCGATACTCCAGCAGTAATGTCTTGTGCATACTTTGAGGTATTCTTGTAATAACTTTATATTAATACATCTTTGTTGTATGTATATGAATAAAAACATACTTTCCTAATTTTATAGAAACTTTAAAAAGTAAAGTAAAACTTAAAATACAGAATTAACATGTTTGAAACACAACTGAAACAGGTATAGTTAAATATCTGCCTAAAACTACATTTTCCTGCTGACTGGATACCAACATTGATCAACTCTCTTTGCTCACCTCGTAGCTAAGCAACCATGTCTATTAAGTATATCTGCCTTTGCATAAATGTAAGAGAATAAATTTGAAACATGCCGTATTGTTGGTAACTTCTAATATTGCTGTGAGAATAAGTAGTTATTTTTATAATTAAAACATGGTTTTAAAAAGAAAGCAAGGACGCACCACTAAAACCCAAACATATATTTTGAGGTCAGAAGTTTGGGAAGAATATCGCATATAAATCTAATTTGAGAATAAGTTACATGTATAAACAAGTTTCTTAAAAATGTTAAAAAAGTTTTAATTGACACAATTCTGTACTCTGTCTGAATTAAACTGAAAAAACAAATAAAATTAAATTTGTGAAAACAATCTAGCTGGAATTATGTACACAATTTCATATAGATTCTTACAAATTATGTTTTTAAATTAAATTATGTTTTAGAAATAAATCTGATTGAAAAAAATAACTGAGCTTGAATTCGGCCCAACATGATAGTCTGAAAAAAGTTGTATTTTAAAACAATTTCAAACTATATCTAAACAACCATCTCACAAGGAGTAACAGAATAGGTGACTTTCTGCTTACTCTGAGATCCTGCATAATGCCTGAACGATGTGGCTTGAACTTTTGCCCCAAATCGAATGATTTGATTTTAAACTTGAATTCCTCTTTTTTCAAGTTCAATGTTGAAATGACTATCTTAATGAGAGGAATGTTGTATTGAGATATCTTATATGTATGGAAATACCTCACAAATACTTTTGCATTTGTCAAATCCCACATGATGTGTTGTTACCACTATAACTCTATGACCTTTGTTTTTATGTTTAAGTTAACGCTTAACACAGAATCCTGCAGTGAATGGAAAATAGTTTGTATTGTTAAATGAAATTGGCTGTCATAGTAACGATTTCAAACTTGACCCAAGCCCCCAACTCTCCATAACACAGTGACCATTGAGAACGATCACATACTTCTAACAGTATATGTGCTGATTTTTCCGAAGACCCAAAAACATAAGGACGGTATATTTGACTACTGCAAAGTACTGGCATACTTCTCTTCATATTTTTGCCAAACATAATCCATGATTTTTTCGTTCAGTTCGGTCCTTTCATTTGCTGGCATCTCGTCCCATTCTTCTGCTCGCAACTTTCTCCCGAACAGCTGCACCTAAAATGTCAAGTCAATCAAATTTATGAAATGAATTTTGTCAGTAAGTCTCAGTGACTGCTGATAACAAAAATGTACCATTGTAACGTTTTTGGAACTACTTTATTACATGTGTCAGAATACATACTTTTGGAATGGTGTTATATGTCACCTGATCACCAGAGTGTATTGATATGTAAAAAGTAATGCTGTTGGTGTACTGTAAAATAACTTTATTTTCGCTTGGAATTAATTTTCGCTATTTTCGCTGAGGTAATGAGTCAGTGAAAATAAAATATAGCGAATATACCTATATTTTCCGATACCATAAAATTCGTAATAGAAGCCGCACTTTTATTAGAAGCCGCACCCTGACTTTGCTACAATGTATCAAGTCAAAATTTACAACAATTGAAACTTGCAAAACCCTGTAATAGAAGCCGCATTGGCTTTTTGAGACTTGTCAATTATTGTGTGCAGTGCTTCCCGTGTCCACATGTGTTCACCGTCCTGGGGCTGCCCCAGTTCCTGTGTATACAAGAAATGAGTGTATGTATTGTGTATGCAATGTCTGTTTT